ACTGCAGGGGTCCCCTTCGCCTTGCACCCTCTGATTTCCACCCTGCACTTTTCCCAAAAGCATCTTCAATTGGCTTAGAGAAATAAAACTCAGCCGAAGCCATTTGTTGAGGTGGCGCAAGTGCAAAACAAGCCCGTGCATCTTCGGCAGCCTGTCTGGGGAGCCCTAGGAATGCCGTTGAACTAAGAGATGGAGACAGGCGACCAGATGCATTTCATGGGAAGAGGACAAATGCGGAATGCGATCACCAGGCAGCGTGCGAAGGAGCCAGAGCACGGCCTCAACATCTTATTTCACAGTGAGGAGAAGGGGCTGGCTGTTAATACAATGCATATCACAGCAAGGCTGGCTGCACAGACGCGTGGCAGGGGGGATGAGGGGTCAGGGCATATTGACTTGCTTGCCCTTGTCCCAAAGTGCTTCCATACAGAAGAACATCAGAAAAACCTTGTGGATCAGGCTAGTGGACCATTCTCACAGCAGCCAGCCAGATGACCCTGTGGGAAAACCCTCCAGGATAATCTGAGCGACTCTCCCCTCCTGTGGTTTCCAGTATTCAGAAGCATGTCTGCCTCTGACCCTGGAAGCACAGCACAGCCAAAGTGGCTAGGAGCCATCAATAGGCCTCTTCATGTATTCGTCGAATCTTCTTTCAAAGCCATCCAAGTTTGCTACCCAAAGGACAAAGGAGCCTTCCTAGGTTGATCCAGCCTCCTTCAGCCAACGTTTCACCACAAACTGCCTCTGCAGGCCAGTAATACAGTGGTGCCTTGGTTCTCAAACTTAATCCGTTCCGGAAGTCCGTTCCAAAACCAAAGCGTTCCAAAACCAAGGCGCGCTTTCCCATCGAAAGAAATGCAAAATGGATTCATCCATTCCAGACTTTTATAAACAACTCCTAAAACAGCAGTTTAACATGAATTTTACTAACTAACGAGACCACTGATCCATAAAATGAAAGCAATAAACAATGTACTGCAGTCACACAATCAGTAGCTGAACTGAGTTCCACACAGTCACAAAAATAAAACAAAAAGAGCTGCAAAAACAAAAACGCAAAAGAAAAAGCGAAAACAGACAGACCTCAGCATAACACTCGAATAGGAAGCATAACACTCAAAACCTTTGTTTGGCTTCCGATAAAAGTTCGCAACCGGAACACTCACTTCCGGGGTTGCAGTGTTTAGGTTCCAAGTTGATTAAGCACCAAGGCATTTGAGAACCAGGGGACCACTGTACTTGCATGTTCTTACCTGTACATTTGTTTTACTCTCTTCCCTCTCTCTCTCTCTCTCACTCTCTCTCTTTCTCTCTCTCTTAAAAAGATATTTCTACATACCACCTTTCAGGATAAGATCTCACAAGATGGTTCACAAGATGGAAACACAAGATAAACCACAGATAAACAGTCCAAACAGAGGCAACAGAGCAGTAACCCCCCCAGCCCATAAACAAATGTCTGTAGAATATTAATCAGAAGTCATCAGATGAACCTCCCTGCCGACAGCTTTCCACAAACAGTTTCCAGGTAAGCTACAGAACCCAGGATTATTATTATTATTATTTTGGGGGGATGTGATACACTTTAAATTTGTTTTAAATGTATGGTATGGACACAACCACAGACCCACAGAGAAAGATTTGCCTTTCTGGCCAGCGGCTTCCATTTGCTGAACATTTGTCTGTTTCTGTCCGACCCCCAAACCACACTGCCCAATTTGTGCCAGTGTCCCTAATTAATAGCAAAAGCATAAGAAAACACGCCGCTAATTAGATCCCAGCCCTGCCTCTCTGGCCCTCCTGTAGCCGGCTGATCTAATTTTGACACTGCAAGGCTGATCAGCAAGCTATCTATTAAGTTAGAGTGGGGGGAAAGACTGGTTCTTGGAAGCGCCGAGATCTCCCCCTTATAGCACATTTGCAGGGCTGTTTTGTGCTCCTCCAGCTGGGCGAGCGTTAAAAACTTATGGCCTGTGACATACGGCGCATGTTCATATTTACTTGCAGAGAAGGAGGCTGTAGCAGTTCGAGGGGAGAGGTGGGAAGCAGGGCCTTTTATCATGCATTTTAAAAGGCCATTGTGTTTTCAGTTCTCGGCTGATGGATCCGAGCTTGTCAGTTCCTTTGTATTGATCAGCATCCTGTATGGCAGGGCAGCATCTTCAGGCCAATTTGCAGGACTGCCGGGTGCGCGAGGGCTGCGTGAGAAACCACTTGCAAATCCTTCGCATGCTGTTTTACAAAATGAGCGCAAGCCATGCGGAAGGATTCAGGATTTAGCTCACCAAGGCAAGAATGAATCCTGCAAGTGGCAAGGGCTACACACAGTAAATAATAATAATAATAATAATAATAATAATAATAATAATTTATTTATTTATACCCCGCCCATCTGGCTGGGTTTCCCCAGCCACTCTGGGCGGCTCCCAACAGAATATTAAAAACAGGTTAAAACATCAAACATTAAAAACTTCCCTAAACAGGGCTGCCTTCAGATGTCTTCTAAAAGTCAAATAGTTGTTTATTTCCTTGACATCTGATGGGAGGGTGTTCTACAGGGTGGGTAGCACTACCGAGAAGGCCCTCTGCCTGGTTCCTTGTAACCTCACTTCTCGCAGGGAGGGAACCACCAGAAGGCCCTCAGCGCTAGACCTCAGTGTCCGGGCTGAATGATGGGGATGGACATGCTCCTTCAGGTATACTGGACCGAGGCCATTTAGGCTTTAAAGGTCAGCACCAACACTTTGAGTTGCACCCAGAAACGTCCTGGGAACCAATGTAGGTCTTTCAAGACCTGTGTTATATGGTCTCGGTGGCCGCTCCCAGTCGCCGGTCTAGCTGCCGCAACCTGGATTAGTTGTAGTTTCCAGGTCAACTTCAAAGGTAGCCCCAAGGAGAGCACATTGCAGTAGTCCAAGCGGGAGATAACTAGAGCATGGACCACTCTGGCAAGACAGTCCGTGGACAGGGAGGGTCTCAGTCTGCGCACCAGATGGAGCTGGTAGACAGCTGCCTTGGACACAAAACTGACCTGCGCCTCCATGGACAGCTGTGAGTCCAAAATGACTCCCAGGCTGGTCATAAGAACAAAAGGAGAGGTTTGCTGGATCAAGACGGAGTCCCGTCTGGCCCAACATCCTGTTCTCACAGTGGTCAAGCTGTGGGAAGCCCACAACTGGGGCTTGAGCACCGCAGGAGCTCTCCTCATGGCTGAATCCCAGTGACTGGTATTCAGAGGAAAGCTCCCTCCAGCCAATGGCTCATCTGATCCAGCCTCCTGTTCTCACAGAGGCCCACCAGATCATAGAATCATAGAATCATAGAGTTGGAAGAGACCACAAGGGCCGTCGAGTCCAACCCCCTGCCAAGCAGGAAACACCATCAGAGCACTCCTGACATATGGTTGTCAAGCCTCTGCTTAAAGACCTCCAAAGAAGGAGACTCCACCACACTCCTTGGCAGCAAATTCCACTGTCAAACAGCTCTTACTGTCAGGAAGTTCTTCCTAATGTTTAGATGAAATCTTCTTTCTTGTAGTTTGGATCCATTGCTCCGTATCCGCTTCTCTGGAGCAGCAGAAAACAACCTTTCTCCCTCCTCTATGTGACATCCTTTTATATATTTGAACATGCCTATCATATCACCCCTTAACCTCCTCTTCTCCAGGCTAAACATGCCCAGCTCCCTTAGCCGTTCCTCATAAGGCATCGTTTCCAGGCCTTTGACCATTTTGGTTGCCCTCCTCTGGACACGTTCCAGTTTGTCAGTGTCCTTCTTGAACTGTGGTGCCCAGAACTGGACACAGTACTCCAGGTGAGGTCTGACCAGAGCAGAATACAGTGGCACTATTACTTCCCTTGATCTAGATGCTATACTCTTATTGATGCAGCCCAGAATTGCATTGGCTTTTTAGCTGCTGCGTCACACTGTTGGCTCATGTCAAGTTTGTGGTCAACCAAGACTCCTAGATCCTTTTCACATGTACTGCTCTCAAGCCAGGTGTCCCCATCTTGTATTTGTGCCTCTCATTTTTTTGCCCAAGTGCAATACTTTACATTTCTCCCTGTTAAAGTTCATCTTGTTTGTTTTGGCCCAGTTCTCTAATCTGTCAAGGTCATTTTGAAGTGTGATCCTGTCCTCTGGGGTGTTAGCCACCCCTCCCAGTTTGGTGTCATCTGCAAATTTGATCAGGATGCCCTTGAGTCCATCATCCAAGTCGTTGATAAAGATGTTGAATAAGACCGGGCCCAAGACAGAACCCTGTGGCACCCCACTAGTCACTCTTCTCCAGGATGAAGAGGAACCATTGATGAGCACCCTTTGGGTTCGTTCAGTCAGCCAGTTACAAATCCACTGAGTGGTAGCATAGTCAAGACCGCATTTTACCAGCCAAGACCACATTTTACCAGCCAAGACTGCATTTTACCAGCCAAGACCGCATTTTACCAACATATGTAGAGCCTTCTGGATCAGGCCAGCAGCCCATCTAGTCCAGCCTCCTATTCTCACAACGGCCAACCAGATGTCCCGATAGGAAACCCACAAGCAGGAGCTGAGCACAAGAGCAACTCTCCCCACCTGGGATTTCCAGAAACTTGTAGTCAAAGCATTGCTGCCTGTGACCACAGTCCCATCGATAGTCCTCTCCTCCTCCTCCTCCTCCATGAACTTCTCCAACCCTCTTTCAAAGCTATCCCAATTGGTGACCACCTCTGCCTCCTGTGGGAGGGAGTTCCGGAGTTTAATTGTGCGCAGAATGAAGAAGGATTTTCTTTTCTCTGTCCGGATCTTCCAAAATTCAATCCAAGCAAAGGATAAGTAACAATAGGCTCCTTCTCCTGGCTCCTCAGCATCGTTTTCACCGGTAAGCTTCCAGTTCATCAGAGTTGCCAAGAAAGGCATAATGTTCATGCTGAAACATCAGGCATTCCTGAAAGCACATGGAAATGAGTCTCATGGCATTCAATGCACACGAGCATCAGCCATGCTCCATCAGCTGCTTGTTGTTGTTTAGTCGTTTAGTGGTGTCTGCCTCTTCGTGACCCCCTGGACCAGAGCATGCCAGGCACTCCTGTCTTCCACTGCCTCCCGCAGTTTGGTCAAACTCATGCTGGTAGCTTCGAGAACACTGTCCCACCATCTTGTCCTCTGTCGTCCCCTTCTCCTTGTGCCCTCCATCTTTCCCAACATCAGGGTCTTTTCCAGGGAGTCTTCTCTTCTCATGAGGTGGCCAAAGTCTTGGAGCCTCAGCTTCAGGATCTGTCCTTCCAGTGAGCACTCAGGGCTAATTTCCTTCAGAATGGAGAGGTTTGATCTTCTTGCAGTCCATGGGACTCTCAAGAGTCTCCTCCAGCACCAGAATTCAAAAGCATCCATTCTTTGGCGATCAGTCTTCTTTGTGTTCCAGCTCTCACTTCCATACATCACTACTGGGAAAACCATAGCTTTTACTATACAGACCTTTGTTGGTAAGGTGATGTCTCTGCTTTTTAAGATGCTGTCTAGGTTTGTCATTGCTTTTCTCCCAAGAAGCAGGCGTCTTTTAATGGGGGTCATTGGATACTTCTAATTCTATGATTATTAATATTATTATTATTACAGAAAAGGATATCAAAATTCCCCATTTTGCTTCAGGCTCTTCTCATGTTCTTATCACTGCCATCAATTGTTGGGACTGTCTTTTGGAAAAGGCAGACCCTGCTACAAACGGGAGGAAAACAAGGGATGGTTCCTGCAGGCAACAATGCTAGGTTCCTGAGAGCAGGGAGCTGTCCACAGAGGACCATCAGTGGGCAGTGCTGAAAGCTGCAATTGAGATGTTAAGGAAGGGTTGCTTGTGGAGAGGAAGAGAGTGGGGGGTTGACATGGATTTTTAGTGGCGGGGGTGGGGGATGCTATAAGTCTGAAAGACCCTGGCAATTGGCCCTGTGTGAGGCTCAACAAGGTGGCCAGAATCTGTCCTCCTTTATTATTCCCGTGGAGGCCTTTACAAGATATCATATATGAGAGGTGATATGAGAGCCATTTTCAAATGTCACAGATGACTCCTGAAACACATGCTTTCCTGAATGCTGAGATGTAATTTTCCAAATGAAAATGAATGAAACGTCTATATTGGGCAATAACGCATATAAAAATGTGTCTACTAAGGCAAAGTGCATACTAAAATGTTAATAATGTTTGTGAGAATCTTTTTTAAAAATAAATAAATGCAAGCCGATGCAACAATGTGAGGAACGGAACCTAAGATTGAGGAAATGTGAAACTGGGGAAAAGCAAAGGTGATAATGTGACTTCCATCACACACACACACACACACACACACACGCAAAACACAGGTCTGTGTGTGACTCAGAAACCCTAGGCAGCTTCAGCAGGAAGAAATGGATTCTTAGTAATCAAGAGATGCCCCCTTTCCCTCTTGGCCTTGGGAGAATTTGCATTTCTGTAAACACCAGCTCACGCTGCTGAGTGATCACATTCACAGCCACTGAGAGGCAGCATCAAATTCCTTCTTCCGCTCAGCCACAGGTACTGAAAGGTATCTGCTTTGATATGCAGGAACAAGAGGCTTTTGCAAATGAAAGGAAGCTGCTCCTCAAAGGGTCTTCGGAGGGCTTGAGAGATGCCTCTCCAGAAAACAAATTGAGAAGGGGGCATTGCTGATAGACAGAGCTAATGGAGGAAGGAGAGATAAAGAAACTATACCCAGGTTGCTCTTGGCGGGTCACAGTGACCCTTTCAGATGCTTCCTGGAGGCCTTTATAAACACCCATCTTAACGGCCCTGTGGATTTCATGATTCATGGCAAGCACTTAACATAAGAAGCGTCTGCAGGAAACAAGCTTGCTCAATCTTCCATGCAACAACAGCCCTTCAGATATTTGAAGACAGCTCTCAGACCACCTCTCAGTCATCTCCTGATTAAACACCCCCAGCTCCCTCAACCATTCCTCTTCAGGCTTGGTTTCCATCATCAGCACCATAAGACATCTGAAAGTGAGATGGTTGAACCACCTCGTGGCCTTCTCCTTAAGAGTCGGGAGTCATTGATTTCCACTCTGAGGGGGCCGGGACCCCTGAAACGGTTTTTAAATGGCAAGGGAAAATGCAACACCATGGTCTCATTCTTCAGAGGAACCATACCAATTTTGCCCCCCATAAAGGTAAAGGTAAAGGGACCCCTGACCGTTAGGTCCAGTCGTGGACGACTGGGGTTGCGGCGCTCATCTCGCTTTACTGGCCGAGGGAGCCGGCGTACAGCTTCTGGGTCATGTGGCCAGCATGACTAAACCGCTTCTGGCGAACCAGAGCAGCGCACGAAAACGCCGTTTACCTTCCCGCCGGAGCGGTACCTATTTATCTACTTGCACTTTGACGTGCTTTCAAACTGCTAGGTTAGCAGGAGCAGAGACCGAGCAACGGGAGCTCACCCCGTCGCGGGGATTTGAACCATCAACCTTCTGATCGGCAAGTCCTAGGTTCTGTGGTTTAACCCACAGCGCAACCCGTGTCCCTATCCCCCCCCATGTCTTGAAGCAATATTAAATGATCAACTGAGAATGTGGATTCTGCTCCCTAATCCCCCTCTACAGCTCTGGGATGGTGGGGCATGACTTCCACGTAAGAAGATGTTATTGCTATTTTATCTGGGGGCTGTCATGAGCCTAAACAGCCTCGGTCCAGTAGACCTGAAGGAGCGTCTCCACCTCCATCGTTCTGCCCGGACACTGAGATCCAGCTCCGAGGGCCTTCTGGTGCTTCCCTCACTGTGAGAAGCAAAGTTACAGGGAACCAGGCAGAGGGCCTTCTCGGTAGTGGTGCCCGCCCTGTGGAACGCCCTCCCACCAGATGTCAAAGAGAAAAACAACCACCAAACTTTTAGAAGACATCTGAAGGCAGCCCTGTTTAGGGAAGCTTTTAATGTTTAATAGGTCATTGTATTTTAGTGTTCTGTTGGAAGCCGCCCAGAGTGGCTGGGGAAACCCAGCCAGATGGGCAGGGTATAAAAAATAAATTATTATTATTATATTATTAGATCTCATTATTCAAATCTTGTTAGATGCCATCATTTTATCAATTTGTGCTGTTTTTAAATGTTTGTTACTTATTTATTTCATTTATATCCCCCCTTTTTGCTTCCATGAACTTGAGGTGGTATACACAGTTCCCCTTGCTACACAACAACCCTGTGAAGTAGGTTAGGCTGAGAGGCAGAGACTAGCTCAAGGTCACCCAGTGAGCTTTGTGGACTCAAATCCTGGTCTCCCAAGTCTTTGACCAACCCCTACTTTCTAAACACCCTGTCTCTCCATAGTCTGAGCCACTTCAAATGTAAGAGGAGAAACCACAACATCCCAAGGTATTGGGTGGGATCCAGAACACAGCTATGGGATCCAGTTAGCCAGCCCACTTTCTGGATATTTGGCCAAACTTCCGCTGTGGAGGTCAGGAAATCGGTTTGCCAATGAAGCTGGACAAAAGGTGGAACCTCCTTGCTACATTATATTTTGTCAGGGTGCTGAGGAAACCACAGACATCCCTGCTCACTTCCTTATTAAATGAAAGGAAAGCCTTTTGGTACCTCTCTCCTGATCTCAGCATCAGGCCATTAGCGGAAACTCTTTGCATTACCCGCTAATTTGGAGAACTTTGCAGAAGAAATCCAAGCACAATTGCAAATGTCAGCAGGCTCTGGAACAAAGACCGTTCTTTCTCCTCTTTTGAAGAAATCAATGTTCCCTTGTAGAATTTGGCACTTGAATAATGCAGAGCTAAGGGGAAGGGAATTTGTTTGATATATTCCCCTTTTCTAAACAAAGCGGGGAAGTAAGCAAAAGCGGTGGTCGAAGCCAGATATTTCAGAACAAGCCTTTTCTATAATTATAATAATAATCATGTCAACGGGTTTGAATTGTATGTCTAACATGTGTTTACCTTAAACGGGCCTTTGATTAATTTTTAAATTTAATTTAATGGAGCTTTGGTGTAAAATAAATCCTTGTTCAGGGGTCTTCAACACACTCACAATACATATTGTTTGAAGTGGGACCCATCCACAGCTCTCATATACATCCTTTCTACTACCTGAAAGAACGCAGCACAAACACTGATATGATCAGAGAGCTTCATTCATGGACTGCTAATGAAGTTGAACATTGGACTATACGGGATAGATAAAAGAAAGTCCTTCTTCACACAATGCTTAGTTAAGCTTTGGAACTCACTCCCATAGCTGACCACCATGCTGGATGGCTTTGAAAGAGGATTAGGAAAATTCATGGAGGAGGAGAAGACTATTGATGGCTACTAGCCAGGAAGGTTATGTTCTGCCTCAACTGTCGGGGTAATTGCCGGTAGGCCGGCCAGGCGACCAGGCAAATGACATTATACGGGCCAGCCCTTCCTCTCATCTGCATCCTGCTTCCGGGATCCATCAAACTTATTCCCCGATGAGATTCTGTGACTCATGTCCAGAGACACTGAGCACACATTAGCAGAGAAACAACATCAGCAGAAACCAGGCTCTGGGGTGTGAGGACTAAGCTACTTTATTCATATACAAAATCAGGACAAAGGAAAACATGGCTCCTCTCCTCCTTCCTCTCGGAGAGAAGGGAAAACACAAAAGCAATACAGAACGGAACTTCCATTCACAAAACTCCAACAATCAGTGCTGGAATGCAAAACACAGACATGCGATTAAAACAATTCCACACGTCTGCACAACGAAGGAATGGAATACCAACAAGAGGCAGCAATGCTTCTGAATGCCAGTTTCTGGAAACTACAGGAGGAGAAAGTGCTTGTGTGCTCAGATCCTGCTTGCATTCTTCTCATTGAAGCATCTGGTTGGCCTCTGTGAGAACAGGATGCTGGACTAGATGGGCCATTGGCCTCATCCATTTCTTCTATTCTTAGTTGTTCTATCTCTGAACTATTCTTAAGAATATAAGAAGTGCCTCGATGGATCAGGGCAAAGCCCACCAAGTTCAGCATTACTGAGAAGAACAGCAGATGCTTGATGGTGCACCAGGAACTGAGTCACTCCTGAAACACAACGTTCCCCTTTCCCCATTGCTGCAGAACACTACCCAGCGCAGACTTCACCAAGCTGTCTTGGGCTGAAGGTCCTTTCCTCCCTCACCATTGGGCATGCTGGCTGGAGCTGATGCGAGTTGTAGTCTGAAATATCTGGAGGGCATCAGGATGGCCATGGCAACCTCAGGGGCGCAAAATTAAATGCAAAGCCTTCCCTACAGCAATTAAGCTCAGAGCCTTTTCTTTCCGTGCCAACAGCACCATGGCTGAAATAAAAATCCATATCAAATAGGGATCATGCA